GTTTCGTCGGAACGAAGTTACGGAAAGTTAATTAACAAACGGAGACGTAACAATATACATTTCAGTTAAGGATATAGATTAATTGCAAACCAGCTAATGCTTAGAGCGAAAGCAGAATTCAAATATGTATTTTTTCACGCTATCCTTCGAACATTTTCAATTTATATTAATTTTGCCGCTAGAAGTTTGCTACGCTGGTGAATTTCACTTTAACCTTGAGGGACTATTTGTTCATATCTATTATTGTGGCCTTCGATAAATTCCAGAATTTAGGTTGCTTATATATTTACTTGCTTTTATACGAAGCCAAATTTCTAACTCAACCTCAGAAACTACCTAAGTCATTTTTAACATTCACATGAGTAGAAAATTACTTATGTAATTTCAAATGTTTTTCCACTAAAGATCTTTTTAAAACGATGTAATGAAGAAGAAATGTGAGTAATTGACCTTCAAAGAAAAAACTCATTTTTTAAACAAAAGAAACAGTTATTAAAGTAAAACAAACTTGGAAGACAAACTCACTGTTGACTAAATTGAGGAGAAACTATTTCTTTTTCTCGAGTAAAATTTCAGTCCAAATAAATTAATCTTAACTTAACATTTGTTAGTACAATTTCTCTTACATTTTAACCGTATGATCAACCTTTAAGTTTGCTAATTATAAACACTCTCGGGACATAATAAATTATTTTTTCCAATTCTTTGAAATCTGAAGAAAACTTTCTCTCTTACTAAAATATTCTTAAGCCTAAATCTACAAACAAATATGTGAAATCCGCCTTTTAGAAAAAGCAACAACAAAAACAAATCATGTAATATTCGACAATTATTTTACATGAAGTAAGGATTATTTTAGTTTATTTTACAACGTATCCCTATTTTATCTATATTGTTACGTCTCCGTTCGTTGATTAAATTTCCGTAAATTTGTTCCGACGAAACTTTAGCGACACAAGTTCTTTCTTAAATAAAACTGGTTTATTCTTTCTGAATATAGCTTTGCATACACTTAATTTCAACAGTCGCGCTATAATTCTCAACGAACGTCTCACTTGCTCGACTTCAACAATACTCAGTTCAATTACACACTCTCTGACTGCAGTTTAATTACTCCTTACCTTGTTCCGTCACGTTGTGAGCGTCTTATATATACCAGACTACACTATATTTAGAAGGATCACGAGATTTAAGGAAAAGACGTGAATGTTCGAGAATGGCGTGGCGTGATACAAGTCACGTGACCTCGATGTCGTAACAATATAAACATGAATGAATGTTATTAATTGACTTTTTTGTTTCTTACATATAACACATTTAAGCTTGGGTGATCTACTTAGCTTGCTATGGTTTACGAAGGAATCGCTTATTATATAAGACATTTTACTCAAGTATGTGCAGCTCCAACTAATGGTTATGTCTGTATCTTTACTGTGTATATGTCAAGGATGTAATCGCAACGTTTCCTCCTTAAGTCTCACTTTTCCACCATTCACTTACGAGCTGGATGTTTGAGAAACGGGAAGAGAGGGTCTTAGTAATAAATCCGAATCCGCTGTTTAGAAGTGTTCTCCTGGGTTTCACGGATGGATCACGCAAAGCAGGAACTCCTAATTACAACACTGAGATTTTACTTTTTTCTCGAGCGTAATAACATCTTCCTCAATTAAAATCTTTGTGGAAGAGCTTGTTAAGCTGATTAAGCGCTAGAATTTGTTACAGTATAAGGGTTACTATAGTGCTAAGTTTTACTTGCGTAAAAGAAATTAGAAGAGATAAAAGGAAGAGGATTTGTCTTCATTAATGTTTATTCTTAGCAAGAATTAAAATGTGACTTTACGTTTTATCTTCCACAAAGTACTCTTTTTCTTTTTTGCAAAATAATAAATGCTTTTTTCCACTACGATGTTTTGTAGTTAGTTATACGTTTCCGTAAGCCAAAAACCTAATACGTGTTAAACTGAATTGAGTATTAGATTAAAGTTTTATAAAATTATAATAATCAATAACGACCTATAGCAT